GTCGGCGCTCGGGCAGGCGCGTGCAGGGCCGCGGCCCGCGATGCTCAAACTTCCCCACAAAGTTTGGCAGGGGGACGGGGCGCAGCAAGCGGGTGCTGCTGCGGGAACCGCGCCTGGCGCGCAGGTACAGGGCGCTCGGCGGATCCATCCCCGCGCTGGCCATCTCGTTTGTCACCGCAGCGGCACGCGCCATCGCCCCGGGCTCCCGGGCGATGCCGTGCTGAGTGCTGGCCTCCCGCTCCGCCGGGCTGGGGCTGGTCGTTGGCGTTTGCATCCTGCCCTGCCGAAGCCGCTGACAACGGGAGCTGCGGGAGCGGGAGAGGAATTGTTATTCAGGGCTGGTCCCAGCGCTGCGACCTCGCTCCTTCCTGAGCGGGAGGGAGAAGGGAGATGGAGCTGAGTCACCCTGTGGCTTTGGGTACGAGTTAAACAACTTCACAGCACCACAACGCCAAAGCCCAGCTCATCTTGTTGGTGTAAACCACTTTAAAAAATATGGGTATTTGGGGAGAAATATCAATCTCTATTTAACAGCACTTGGGCTTATTAAAATGAAAATAGCTTTGCAAATGTAAATCTCCTTATGCTCCCTAATGCCTTTTGTTTCGGTTCTGCGCTCCCTCGCAGCTGGCGGAGGGACGGGGGCTAATTGGTTGCTCTTGGATTTCTGACGGCTCCCCGGCCTGGGCTCAGCTTCTCCCACCAACGCGGAGCCGCTGCCCCGTGGTTACCCCAAAATCCTCCCCCAGTGATGAAGTGCTTTCTGACACTCGGTGAAAACACTTTTAGTCATTCCAGGCCAAAGCCTTCCCCAGCCCAGCGCCGGCAGTGTCGGCAGTGCTCTCCCGACGTTGGCTCACGCAGTCCCTGCTGCTGGATGAAGTCCTGGGCGGTTTTGTTCCGTTGACAGGGGAGCGGCTTTGTTTATTCAGTCCATCCATCCCCTGGCGCGTCCCGTTGCTGTGGGGTTTTGGTGGTGACTTGGAAGATTTTCCCTTTCCCCCTGCAGCAGGGCTCTCCCCCCCCAGGCACTCCGAGTTTATCCCAGCCGCTTTACTCAAACTCTGGGTGTTTCTCCCCAGCCGCCGAGGTGCGGGACCAGCAAAGCCGGGGAGCCGGGCTGCGTGTGCCGCGGCCAGGGGGGCTGCTCCGGGGTTTGGGGGGACGGCGGCGTGAGAGACGGTGGGTGTGGGATGGGGCTGCTGGAGGTGCGCGCGTTGGCCCCGTCGGACCGCGGTCTGCGCCCTCCGCCCCGCAGAGCCCTCCCCGGCAGCGCGGCCGAGCCGGGGAATGGCCGGGTTTGGGGCTGCTCGTTGCCCCGTGCTGCAGCCTGCCCGGAGCGGAGCCCCGGCGGCTGCGGTCTCCGGGGACCTGGCTTCTCTTTCTGTTTTCTTTTCCTCTTTTATCAGTGCCACATGAGCTCGGCCAAGAAGAGTTGAGTTCGGTTTCAAAAGAGTTGGTTTTGGGATGTGCCCGGGCTGTGCGAGGGTGACTCTGGGCAGCGGGCTCTGGCGAAGGCAAGGGCAGGCAGGGCAGGCAGGGCAGGCAGTGCTGGCCCACCTCTCGTGGCAGCATTAGGAGCTGGACGGATCTCCCTTTGCTGTTCCAGACTCGCCTCCATGCTGGGACGGGGAAGGAGCGGAGCTCGGCGGTGCCAGGCAGGGAGGCAGTGGGCACCCAGCCGGACTCGGTGCCTGGGAGCGGGCGGCTGCGCCGGGGCCCCGCGGGAGCAGGGAGAGCGGGGAGCTGGGCTTCACGGTGCAGCAGGGCTCTTCCAGAGCAAGGTCTCCCGTCCCTCCTAGGGACCGCACAAAGCAAGGCCCAGCACGAGCGGCCCGGCAGCCCATGCAGAAGGCCTGCCAGGGGAACGCACTTGCAGGTCGGCGCACCAAGAAGGGACTTGCTCCCCTCCTGCTCTGCCCAGGCCCCGTGGCTTCTCCTGCCGGGCCCAAGGGCAGGAGATCTCTGTGTGGAGACACGGAGAAAAAGTCAAGAAGAATTAACCGAAGCGTGACTGCAAAGTGCTTTAGCTAAAGCGCATTAAAGCTAATTAAGCTGAATTAACGGGGGCCACTTTGTCTCTGTATGGGCTCCCAGGCCAGCTTCAGCTGCCTGAAACTAATGCCCACCTGGAGCTGATCCCGCCTGACTTCCCGGGTGCCCGTGCAGGGGCACGGGGACGAGGGCGAGCTGCGGCTGCCCGAGGTGCAGGACCTGGCTGCTGCCCCGGCTGCGGGAGGATGCTCAGCCCTGCGGCAGCACCCGCTGGCTGCCTGCGGCGCTGGGGTCCCTCCGCCAACAGATCTGGAGCCCAGCCCCGGGTGATGGGCCTGGCTGCGCCGAGGGGCTCCTTGGTACCCGGCGGCTGGCAGAGGGAGCACACACCACACTGCAGGAGGAGGAGGAGAGCCGTCCTGCTGCCGAGCGGCAGATCCCCGGCCGGCCAGGCTGAGCCTGACCCTGCACCACGCAGAAACCTGCATCTCTCCCGCAGCAGCACTGTTTCCAGCAGAAAAGGTGCTGTTTGCCCACCCGCCCCCCAGGCACCGGCCCCAGCCTGATTTGTTCTGAGCCTCTCCTGCAGAAATACCCCCGAAACAGTTGGAGAAGCCTCTCTGTCCCACTCGCTGACGGGCTCCTTCTGGCAGCCATGTCTGCAGTCACCCCCGCACTGCCTGTAACGCAGCTGGGATGTAACGGGAGCCGTCTGATGGCTTCCCTCCGTGCACCCTCTGTGCCAGCCGGCCCTGCGCAGCCGACGTCTCCTGCAAAGCAGGGAGGGCAAACTCAGAACTGCCAGTTTATGCGTGGCATGAAACCAGCATCCTCATCCCAGTCTGGAAGCAGCGCAGGGGAGGGGGCTGTAACCCAGCAGAGCGCTTCCCAGAAAACACTCAGAGAACTAATTTTGAGTTTGGCAAATTCAGCGATGAGTCTGAACCGAAACACCCTATCCATCTTCAGATGTTTGTCCTTCCTTCCATCCGCTGCATTCCTACTGAGCCCGGCACATCCCCATGCTCTGTGTCTGGCTCGGCTTAACCCCTTGGCTGCTGCGGCTCCTCCGCCCCCGCACGGCCAGCGTTCCCAAGCGGGGCGGCAGGCTGCGCTCAGGGCTCATCTCAGGCTCCTTAAACCACAGCCCAATGCTGGGAACCAGACCCGGCTGTGCTCCTGCGCCCTGGCCACGCGGTGCTCCGTGTGCTCTACACCCAGTTCCTCCCCAGTTTCTAGCCCAGGGAGGTTTGGAGCCCCCTGAGCTCGGTGGCGTTGCCAGCGTGGTTGTACCAGGGACCCGGCAGAGGCGCGGTGCAGCGGTGCAGTGCGGGATGGTGGGCACGGGCTCCATGGGGGGTGACGGCGTCCCGTTGCGGGGCCGCTCTCCCCACCAGTGACACTTTCCTTCCACAGGACGCCAGGTCACTGGACGCGGCGGTGCAGAGTGCCCTCCAGGCCCTCTACCCCCCCTTCGAAGCCACGGCCCCCACGGTCCTGGGCCAGGTGTTTCGGCTGCTGGAGACCAGCTACCGGGGAGATGGGCTCTGCTGCCTGCTCCAGTTCCTCATCCCGGCCAAGCGCCTCTTCGAGCACGTGCGGCAGGCAGCCTGCGTAAGCCCGCGCAACCCCGCGCCGCGGTGCCCTGTGCCCCGCTCCCGGCCATGGGGGGGGTCTTATAGCGTGAGACCCTGCATGGCTGTGCCCTGCGCCAGGCTGCAGGCTCCCTCTGCATGTCCCCCTCTCTGTCCCTGTCCCCTCCCTGCAGAGGGGACCGTGGTGTGCCCAGCTCCCCGGGACGGCTCCAGCACAGAGCCTGGCACACACAGTCCCCGTGATAAGGGCAGGAGGGCTCCCGGGTCACCTTGTCTCGCCCCTGGAGAGGCACGTGGGGAGCACTCAGCACGCCAGGAATGGCCATGGGCTTGGGGTGGGCTTGCAGGACCCTGCTATGGCTCGGCTCAGGGACATCCCACTGGGTCGCCAGGCTCTTCAGTCCCTGTTGTAGGAAGCGCAGAGCCAGGCAGCAAGAGCATGCGGGGCCGGCCGGGAGGGGTCGGAGCTGGCGGGGGGTCTCGCTCATGCGCTGTGTTCTTTCTCCCTC